TACAGGGGGCGACGGATTTTAAGGGACATCGAAGTTTTATGGAAGTACAGAATATTATAGCCAATAAGATTTGAATATGTGAAAAGCATTATGTGATTGGCTAAATATCGAGATTTCCATCGAAGTTCGAAGCTATTCAACCAATCATTTCCGATGAAATGGAAAATTCGAAGTAGCAAGTCTCTTCACTCCAATAACTACCATGATTGAACACGATATGGAACTTTAAAAAGAGCGTACAACAACAATCTTATTTACATTGGACACGCTAAGTCAATGTCAATGTCACTCCACCCTCTCTCCTTAAGGTCTTTGCGCGTTTGGATCTTCCTTATACACCCCTCGATTTCCGCCATATCCCGGGCAAGCTTATACTTCCAATGTGCTTCATCCGCTTGGATAGTTAAGAGTCGAACGTTCAACCTTGTTTCTTCCACCAGCCTCGCCTCACGTTGACGATCCATCTCCAGCTTCTGGTGCTCCACATGATGGGTAAACTCCAATTGCTCCTTCTTCAATTCGTATGCGCGAGCGTTAATGTCGCCCCATTCGTCGAGCTTCGTGGACGCAGCCGATCGCTTCCTGGCAGAACCCGGTGCCGTTTTGTCGTCCTGCGTGTCATCGTCGCCGCCCGATGATGCGTTGTAGAGGGTTTCGCTCGTCACCAGCGGGGTAGTCGAGACCCGGTCGCGCATGACGTCATCAAGAGTGTAGTACACCATTTTGCGTTTAATTCCAGCTTATTTTCAATATATTTCCACCAACCTCCGATATATTTCACCGAATCCTCAATATAATTCACCCAACCTCCATTATATTTCTCGTCGATGTAATATATCGGCGATATATTTCACCCAACCTCCGATATAATTCACCCAACCCACTTTGCATTGAGGAGATTCGAGGCACTGACACCTTACTTACATGCACCAACAGTTGATCATTTACGTTAACATTAATCACATCTAGCACACCGAGTGGTCCTTGGTCAGCAAGGTCACCACGCGTCCGTTCAGGGCTTGGAGTTCACGAGCGTTGGGGAGGTGAATGACGTTGGACCACTGCTTCAATTGCGCCTTGGACAGCGTATGCACCTTTTGCAACACGTTCCACTCGACACCTTCCGTGAACGGCTTCGTGGTGAGCGAGCCAGGGTACCGAAAGACGTTGCTTTCGCTCACATGGAGACTCGTCGGGTCGAGCGCCGGCAGCGTAAAGTTGTCGCCAGGCTTGGTCAACTGGTCAAACTGGCTGAACACTTGAGTCAAGAACGGGTTGGGCTTGTCTTGGGGGTCCAAGTCAAAGAAGATGCCGACCACGGCCAGGTTCTTGTCCTTGTCAGAGCGTGCACAAAA